CTTTAATGGAGTACTTTCATTTTACTCTAACAACAAAGTTCGAGTTTATTATAAAAATAACGAGATATTTTAAAAAACCTTCATGTGACACGAATTTCGAATTTATTTTCACATATAGAAAATCAATTGATGTGACATGTCCAGTGTTCGAAATTCGACTGCGCCTTTACATAAACTAATCTAATTTTAGAAATTATCTGCGGTTGATTTCCATATTTGGTTAGTGCGCGCCGATTCCGCCGATTGAATTTCGAACGGTGGACATGTCCTGTGACTAATATACTTAATTGTGGGTTTAATTCCTTGGTGCTTTAATAATCGTTTTAACCACCCCCAATTTCTCTTTTCAATTATGTAAACATCATGACTATGTATTTAATAATAGTTTCAATAGATAAAATTGCTAGATTGATTTCTTGTGCATTTTCAAGTGACCAATTATATATTACAAATTGTTTTTGGGAAATAGTAATAGTAATAGGTGCTGTCGCAAAATCCGAAATGCCTCCGTAATTAAATTGTAAATATATTAATCAGTAACACAGAAACTTCTAAATTGATGTTTCATTGTAAATAACGGATTAATTCCTGAAATATTTTTTATTGGTTTTCAATATTTTCCCAATTTTTAAATTTTTATCCAGCAAAAATTAATAATAAACAATGTTTAAATTATTAAATTATATCCCCTCCATATTTACTTGGTAGACTAACTAAATGATCTACCTAAATATTCGACATTGCATTATTGTTATCATTGTTAAAAAAATCAAATCGCGTTATTGTTAGATAAAGTTGAGTGAGTCTATTCTTTTTGCTCCTTCAATGTATGATATGATATGATATTAGAAAATTAAGTGTAGTTTGAAATTTTCCATTTATTTGTTTTTTATCTACTCAAACATAATAAGTGTCCTTAAAAAATTTTATGCCATTTTTACCCTTAGTTTGTCTGAGGCCTCAATTAGAAAGAAGTTTCCGGAATTCTTGCATAAGAGTTATATTGTTGATAATTGTACTTTCTAGTGTTGCATCACTGTTACTTCATCATATAACATTATGTGGATTACCTAGTTATATCAATCTTGAATTCAAGTGGTAAATCACACATAGTTATATTAATCAGACGACCAATCACTTCCATATAAGTTCCCTCTGAATGTCTAGAAATCAACAAATAATATCCACCCTTATTTCTTGCAAAAACATTTTTGGTGGTTGAGTAATTTTAACAATATTGGAATTTCTTTGAATGTTTGAAAACATTTTTCATCTAACATACATCGAAATTGCCTCTGCATTTTTCGAGTTACCTTGATAGTTTATTAAACAGAACCTAAGCTACGTATTATTTATATATAACAACCCCCTGGGTGGCTGTAAAATGTTTCAAAGTCGAGTTTTTAATAATTATAATCTGTACATTGTCGATCAACCAAGTAAATAATAATAAGATCAAAGTATGAGTCCCCAAGCCTCTATATATCCTCTTAATGTATTAAATCTTTATGGTTAAATCAAGACATCAACAATACCTCCTACTTTTGTATGTATATGAGGAAAAGCAGTTTCGCTGAATATGAAAGGTAATAAATTAAGTAGGTGTTTATCAATAGTACTTTGCTGAATTAGAACTCAAAAAGAAAAACTTGCATCGATAATCTTTTATTGTTGAGATCACAATACTGCGGTTAAGTTTGTAGTAACAAGGCAATACTAATACTAAGTTTTTAGATCAGAGGATAGATAATATTTTATTTATTGCAGTGTAAGCTTATTATAATATAACGACAATATTACTCTCTCTCTGGTATTGACTACTACTACTTAAGAGTAGATTCTTGAAACTGAATTTTCTTTCCTACATTTTAATTTCCTATTTGCACGTAGGTTTTGTGATAATAATACAGAAAATATAAATAAGTTCGAAGAAATGTAATATCAAATTAGTAGTAACTTCTTATTTAGACAATAATACCTGCTGACTGACTCTGGTACAATCAATTTGTGAAAAAAAATTTACCAACTGTCAAATGATGTTATTCATATAACTAACAATTAATTTGGGATGTAATGATTTTCTGATATGACGGACGACATCACGAGAAGCTGTCCAGATTCAACAGTCTCTAAGCCGTGGGTGGACCTTTATAATGTTATCGATTCTGTTGATGCTATTAGAAATATTTCCATTGCATTCAGATTCGCAAGCCAATCAAAGTCAAGTTTGGATAGATACGTTAATTAGAAGAAAAATTCAAGTAATTATATTAATATTTAACGATGACAAATACAACTGTGTTAAAGTACAGCAGCAATGGTTATAAAACTAGCAGGGGAAAAACAAGTTTTTATGGACCATATCCTATAATTTGGCCGATGGACGGAGGCTGTCACCTAATCAATTATAGTCGTCATTAAGTCAATTAATATTTGCAATTTTTAATTATATGAGTTCTGTCAAATCAGTAACGATGAAATCGAATTTATGGCATAATTTTCAAAGTTTTTATTCATGACACGTATAAACTTCAAGTATAATTCCACTAATCAAATTATCTAGTTATAAGGAATGGGTGAGTTCCTTTATAAAGAAAATTCGTCATCCATGTTTTTATTATTATTATTATTACTGGTGAGCTGGCACTTGGAAATTAATATATTTTTAAAGAGAAAAATTTTCATCGAGAGCCATAACGGTGATTGAAATTTTACAAACTTACAAACTAAAGATATATTTGGTGAAATTCCAGCTATCGATAGGCAAACACAGTAATTTTTTTTTTTTTGCCCAGCTCTTCCTACTATTTTATTTACAGTTTCATGCAATACCAGTAAAAAAAATTATAGGTCGCCCATGTAAAATTGTGCTATAATAGGAAAATAGAAAGTTATTTGATGACTACTAAAACCATGTTCGAAAGTGATTTTCACAATTTTAAGATAACTTGCAAGGTCAAGAAAAGAAAATGCATAAAAAATTCTATTAATTATATATGAAAAAGGGCTTTATTATTACCATATACATTATATGTATTACATATATGATACGATATCAAGTTGTAAAAAAAACTTTTTATTAAAAGAGTTCTTCGACTAAATGTATATATATTACGATTATGTTATAAATAAAATAATGATTGGAGTTAAGAATAATAACAGATAAAATAATAATTAATAATAATAATATGATAATAGTTGAATTAGTTTCAGTTATTATTTGCAGAAAAATATAAACTTGTAAGTTTTCTTATCTCATCTAAAAAATTTCCAAAAATATATTATTATTTGTTTTAAAAACTATATTATACGAATAAATAAATATATATTATTACCTTCAACTTCTATAAGTGATGTATCTTTTTTAGGTACAACAATATAGAGTATACGTTTATCAGACCTTCTCCCAACTACCCAAAAATTTGTTGTAGATCTTGTATAGACTTCTGTCAATTGTTGATGTCTAATATTATAATAATTAACAAAAAAAAAAGAAAAAGTAAATATATATATATATATAAATGCAAATGTAATGTGTATAATAACACCAACTTTTCAAGATCTTCATGTATATCACATAATGCATGAGCCATCTCGTTTGTAATAGTTAATCCTCTGAACACATTTCCATTAGATGAAGATGATGATGATGAAGTTGATGATATGGTTGGTGGTGTTAATGACAATGAATGTAATGAAGTCTTTATAGCCAAAGTCATTTTATCAAAATATAAATATCGATATTCTCTATCTATATCCACTTTATTTCTTTGCATATGATGTTTATAGAATGTTTATATTTATTATATTTATAATAATAATAATATGAATAAATATTTATTTACCCAAATTTTCTTGATTTTTCATAATCCTCATTTACTGCATTAATTATTGATTCAGATCTAATAGATAAACATTCATCTAGAGATATATAAAATTTCATATCGTATACTTTTGTAATTCCTTCCACCGATTTGGCCGGTATTAAGAATGCAAACGTAAGAAAATCTTGCTATGTTATTAATAAATTTGTTAATTTAGATTTTTTTTTTTTTTTTGAAAAATAATAATTTACCTTCCAGCGAATAAATAATAGGGTACCTTATATGCAATTAAAAAATATTTTTCAACATTGTCAACAACATCATTATATTCGTCATCATCAATTTCTTTATCGTCTAATTTTTTTATTAAATAAATTGTCAAAGGTTTAATATCTCTATTAGATCCATCTAAATCTGTTGGTCCTATCAAGAATTTTGATAAATTTATTTCGGATGGTAAAGAAGAAGAATCAAGGGGAGGCTCTGAAGAAGAAGATTGCTGCTGCGGCTGTTGTGTAGATGATGAAAAAGAAAAAGGATTAAGTGACGATTCAAAGGAAAGGAAATGACTTTGCTGATTATCGGATGACGTTGTTGTCGATGATGATGATGATAATGATGGAAATGATAAAGAATTTGGCGAAAAACGAGAAAAAGGATTAGCTCCAGAAATCAACTTTGTAAATCCTTTAATTGTTGAAGAAAACTAAATAATAAACAAACAAACAAATAAATAAATAAATGTAAATATACAAATATATAAATAAATAATTTCACAAATTTTTGAAATAGTCATTACTTTATCACTGTCTTTGGTATTCTTTTTTCTTTCAAGTTCTCTTTCGAACAAATTTCTTTCAGAAATCAAAGTATCCAAATGTTTCCAAATTCCTTTTAGTTGATTTTCAGGAATGCTTCCATTGTATATCAATTTGTTTTTCCATAACACTACAGCGTCTTCTATTATTTCATATTCCGAGTGAATTTGTTCGATTAATGATGTTATTTCCAAATATGCTGGCCTAGAAAGTGGAAGATAAAGAATACCTATAATATATATAAATGTGCGAGTGTGTGCATGTGATTATAATAATAATATAATAATATATTATAAATATATTTATATCATATTATTACAAGCATGTTTACCACTAACATAATATCAATATTATTATAATTACCATCGACAATTTTGGTTAATTCAGTCTTCTCAAAATCCCATTCAAATACCCAATTACCAAAAAATTCTTCTAATTTAACCTTTAAAGATTTCACTCCTGAAGTTCTTGTTGTCAAATCAAAAGTTCCATTAAATAACTAGATAAAATAATTAAAAATATCAATTAATTATTGATTGTAAATATAATCAAGTTTAAATGCACGTTAAAATACACGAGATACAATAATAATTACTTGCCCTGTACATTTCATATCCAATTTCTAACATTTTTCCAATTTCAGAATCGTGTAAATTTACATCTAGATATTCAGTTATAATCTTTGGTTTTCCATCTTTATCTTTAGTTGTTCTCCTGACATATCCTAGTTCAATCAACTTTTATCCCGACAAAAAAAAATTTTAAATTTTTAAAATAAAATAAATAAAACGAATTGTAATAATTAACAATTAATAAATTAATATTTACAACATGTATCCAATAATTTGGTTCAGCTTCATAAAATGCTAATCGATTTTTTTGCGTATGAACATTTTCACATGGTTTAGTAGGGGAAAATATTCTGAAATAGTGTGTTGCACAGTAATAGAGAATATTTCAACAAAACTATATTTTAAAAATTTTGATTTGATATTCAGTCAAAAAAAATTTGCCACAATCTTTTCTTTTCTAATTGTCTCTACATATAACTAACTTTGTAAAGTTTACTATTCCTTGAGCCAAACCAATTTGACGTATTGTTGTATCCAATGGCACCTGTTTTCTTGAGGTATAATAAAGAATTTGATCTTTTTGAGTTTCTTCCGTTGGTCCGAGAGTAGGATTATAAATGCAAAAATACGATAGACATGGAGGAACACTTATAGCTCCTTGACCACCGCCGCCACCACCATTACCACCATCACCACCACCACTATTATTATTATTCATCGTATTAGCAGTTGGCGTTGTTTCAGATGTTGTTGAATCCATTTTTGAGAAATTTTAAAATATAGTAATAAGATTGACCAATCACTAAATATTTTAAAGATGGATAAAATGATTTGATTGGATTTTTTTTATAGGCTATATTAAAAGTTACACAGCACTTACATATATTATATAAAAAGAGATTTCTTTTTTTAAATTATTGTTTTATTTGGTATTGTAATATTAATGACTTGTATTACAAATTTTATACTATAATAATGTTTATTGTTCTTGTTAATTATTTATTATCGATCCCATTTATTATTTTTAAAGTTTCCCTTCGAATTCCATGGAGTTTTTGGTAAATGATTGTTGGAGGTAAAAATAATAATAATATGGCTTTTGTTTGTGTGGTAAATCCAAATGTTAATAATATAATATTATTTAATATTATGATGACATCAACCAGAAACCTGTAATTCCTCGCTCGATTATAATGTTTTTTTTTCGGACTATTTGTATTTATTATTATAAATATAAATATTTAAGTTATTCTCTCGACCAATCGATTTAATTGTTGATTACTAAATTGGACATTCAATACAGAAAAAGAGTTTTCTTTTCTATAAAAAAATTTTTAATTTTTTTTTGTTTCCTTTTGGATTGTTAGTCTCGCTTTTATACAGCGTACTTACTTTATTTATACTTGCATTTAAACTATCGAACAAAACCATCTAATTTACCAATTATTGATTATTAATATTAATGAAACAATAATTTTTTTGACAAAAAGGCAAAAATACTGTTGTACTAAATAATAATAACATTGGGAATATGTCACGAGTAGATAAATAAACATCACATCAGAAAATGATTGATTTTTTTACTCTTCTTCGGATAAACCATTCTGAATAAGTTCACACGAATAGGTGTTGTTTACCCTAGTGAATCACTGTCCTCAGATCGATGGGAAGCCTCTTTAAAAGGCAGGCTCTCAATTCATGGGTTGCATTGATCCAACTAAACCAACATTTAATAATTTAAATCATGTTCCCCTTTTACCAGAGTCTGAAAATTTCGAAGACTCTGATCTTAAATGGGTTCTTGGCACCCTTCTAGCATTAGGGAAGCAGGAATTAAAAATTAAAAATTAAATATTTTAGACCTAAAAAAACAAGCTACAGTCAATCATAAATCAGCAGACTGGGGAGATATTAAATCACATGAGAAAATACCTAAAACATACAACTGCTGTTGTCTCATCATGAATTCGTTTGATTTATCTTCCCTAAACCACTTGAAATTAAGGCCGATAACCAGAGTTCTAAATTCTCAACGGTTGAAGAGAGTTTCTCTCGATACAGAGAACTTGCACAATAAAAATAGAATATATAGCTTATGTTTGCATCGTAATAGAATCCCAAAATGAACAAAAGGGTTCAATTCGTGGCAAAGAAAATAAAGCGTAAAATATGTAATAAAATTTGTAATCTTGTAAATGTCGTCGTTTGGTTTTACTTCCCGAGTTGAAAATACAAGACATGGTTAAAAACAAACGTTAACCCGGCCACATTACCGATTTAAATTTCAGTCATTTGCCTCATAAATCCCTCAAAGTATCCTTTGTGGATGTTGTGGAGCTCGTAGTGTGCTTTATATCAAAGAGTTCCACTTATTGTAGGCTTCGTCTACGTATGACTTGTATGGTTAGTAGTGAAAAAAAAAAATTTTTTTTGTGGTACAAAATTACTAATACAAAAATCATATCACACCCACTTTGTCTTTTGGCATATATATATATATATATATATATTCATTATTAATAATAAATAGGTATACGTAATATATATACACGTAAGTATATTATTATTTATTTATATTATATATGTAATATATTATTTATTATTTTTCATTTATTATTTTATAATTAATAAATAAAAATGAGATATAAATACACAACCTTTTTGTCCCAAGCAGAAAAAAATTAATATAATAATTTTCTCATTATTCTCTCACACCATTTTTTATTTTTAAAAATTTTTTTTTGTAAAACAAAAAAAAAATTTTTTTCACCACCACATTCATATATTATTTTATAACTTTTAACCCTTCACACACAAAATTTTTTTACAATTCAATAAAAAAAATATTTTTTAATTAACAAACATGCAAATTTTCGTCAAAACTCTTACCGGTAAAACTATTACTCTCGAAGTAGAATCCTCTGATAGTATTGATGCAGTTAAACAAAAAATTCAAGATAAAGAAGGTATTCCTCCAGATCAACAACGTTTAATCTTTGCTGGTAAACAATTGGAAGATGGTAGAACATTGTCAGATTATAATATTCAAAAAGAATCAACCTTACATTTGGTTCTCCGTTTACGTGGTGGCATGCAAATTTTCGTCAAAACTCTTACTGGTAAAACTATTACTCTCGAAGTAGAATCCTCTGACAGTATCGATGCAGTCAAACAAAAAATTCAAGATAAAGAAGGCATCCCTCCAGATCAACAACGTTTAATCTTTGCTGGTAAACAGTTGGAGGATGGCAGAACATTATCGGATTACAATATTCAAAAAGAATCAACCTTACATTTGGTCCTTCGTTTACGTGGTGGTGCAAAAGTTGTAAAATGCAAATTTGGTGAATGTAAAGACAAGGCAACTAAGATTGTTGGTCATTGTAGGTATTGCGAGTTGGACTACTGTGGTAGACATAGATTACCTGAAGCTCATGCCTGTGTCAACTTGACAAGTTGTAAACAGGCTAGTTTTGAAAAAAATGCTGCTAAATTAAGAAGTGAACAATGTGTTGCTAGCAAATTAGTTAATTAATTAATTGATTAGATTTAAATAGACTAATAAATAAATTAATAAGTATATAGTAATTGTTAGCAAACAATTATTATTTTTTTTTTTTTTGTATTATAAAATCTTTATTTCTGTATAGACATTAATTTTCTTTGATTCCTTTCCTTTACTCATAGACAGTTCGTGTGTAACATTTCACGAACAAGCAATTTTTTTTATTTTCATTTTTTTTTATTAATAATAGATGGTAGATAAACATTATATAATATAAATAAATATATTAAACATTATTATTATTATACAATTACGAAAAACTTGAAATTGATCTATACTCATAATTGTTTTCTAAAATATGATCTTACAAAGAAAATTATTAACATTCTCCATGGAATTGATTGAAGAGGAAAATTAGTACGGCGCAGATCATATATAATCATTAATTGCTTATAGTAACAATTGGTCAACTTCAAAAATACTATGGTTGGCTTGGTCTAAAGACCTCCTATTGCTGCGCCACGCGGCCAAATTCCAAAATAGCAATTTTGTAATTCGTAATAAAATTTTTCAGAAAATAGGAGTTCACGTGATTGTAGTTTTCTTACTGCCAAATTTAGATACGATAGTTAAGAGCTAGTCTAAATTTGTTAATATTTTTTCTAAATTTAGAAATGATCATAGTGGACAAATTCCTCGCGAGCATAGTAAAGTGCATGTTTTAAAAAAGAATAGAACTCTACAACAAATAAATTTTTTGAGAAAATCTCTCTATTACATTAAACTAAAGACATATTCTATCAACTAATAGAGTTATTTTTTTAAAAGGTAGGACAGAAAGTGACTTCTATACTTTTAAAATTTGCCCAAAATTTAGGAGGTCTTTAGACCGAGCCAACTATATTACGTTTTTATTTTTATTTGTATAATGTTGAAATTAGTTAGTCGCAGTTAGAATGTTATTTCACAATTAAAGTGAGGTATCATGGTTAGAATGCTAGATTGCAATGAAGTTGTTACTAATTAATTTAATTGTATATAAGAAGCTCAAATTTGACATGCTTGTAAAATAACTTTAACTTTGTAATAATTTGTAACAAAGTTTTTATAATAAAGCTAACTTAGAATGTTACAAAGTCAGAATTAAATGTCAGTAATCAAAACTCTAACTCTTAGCAAATAAAGAGTTGGAGGAAATAAATAACTGATATTAAAATAAAAATTAAAATTTTTAATAAATTAAATTGAAATAAATACATTTATGATGGGAAAAATATAACAGTCCAAACAGTTCACATGGTCTTTGATAATTGAGACCAAACCATTAACAACCCTAGATTTATGATGCTTTTAATATTAGAGCAGGACTTCCCAAAAGGGAACATTTATTTACTATTATTATTACGAATGTTACACTTAAATATAACTTATTGTGAATTAATTAAAAAAGCAAATTAAATGGATTCAACAATTTTAGAAAAATATTTCAACGAAAATGAAAGGTTATTAAATACAGAAGAATTTTATGATGTAAAAATATATCTTGGTGTAGAGCCAAACATTAAAGAAGTTCATGCACATGCATCTATCATATCTGCTCATTGTTCATTTTTTGGCAATGCATTAAGTGATGCAGAAAAAGAAAATGGATATTATATTGTTAAGAATGCTAATATTAGTGAAAAGTGTTTCAAGCCTATTCTCAAGTAAGTTTAAATAAATATATTATTTATTTTAATTATTATTGTATTGTATATGTAATGATTATCTGTTTAATAATTTATTTATTGCTGAAAGATTTTTATACACATGTAGAATTGAATTTGAAGATTATTCTGGAGCTGAAGTATTAGAATTGATAACTGCAGCAGATCAACTTGGTACTGAGTCACTTTATGAATATATGATGAAATACTTTATTAAAAATTATAGATATTATATAAAAGAAAATCCAGTTAAAATTCTACAATTTATTTATGCTAATGAAAATTTTAAGGAATTGAAAAATATTTATTTAGAAAAATATAGTAAAGAATTATTTGAGTCAAGCAAATTTAAATCATTGGAAAAACCAATTCTATTGGAAATTCTTAAAATAGATAATTTTTCAGTTGATGAAATAATTATTTGGGAGAATATTCTTAAATGGGGATTAACAAGACATCCAGAAATCATTGACAATGAAGTTAAAAATTGGTCACCACAAAATTTTGTTGATATGGGTAACACATTAAAAGAATTTATTCCCCTAATAAGATTCCAAGATATTTCTAAAGAAGATTTTGGTTCTAAAATATATCCATATCAAAAGCTTTTTCCAGAGCCATTTTGGAATATAATTGCCAATGATCAAAAAAATTTGAATTTATTGCCATCAAGAATTCCAAAAATTCAATCAACAACAATCAATCAAAAACTTTCTTTACTTTTTGCAAGTTGGATTGATAAGAAAAATCCACCATATAATTCATTCAGAGATGTTAAATATGAATTTAAGCTTATATATTGTAGTAGTAGAGATGGTGATAATGTAGCTGCATTTCATCAAAAATGTGATAATTTCAACAAAACCCTTGTAGTTGGCAAATTACAAAATTCAGATCAATTAGTAGGAGGTTATAATCCACTTAATTGGAATTTAAATAATGGAGCTAATACATATAAATACACAACTGAAAGTTTTATTTTTAATATTAGTATTAGAAATAACATTAATTCTTCACAGTTTAGTTATGTTACTAATAATTGTGATTTTGCAATTCGCTGTCATTCTTCATATTCAGCAGTTTTTGGTAATGGTTTGGATCTTGGTTTTATACCAAGTTGTCATTCTATTTATAGTAAAAGTAGTAATTATAGCAACATTAATATAGTAAGTGGTAGTAAATATGATGAATTGGAAGTATTTCAAATAATTGATAAAAAA